CACGGTAGGGAAGGGAGAGGTCTGCTTGAGTCCAGGATCCCCATGAGGAAGAGGCCAAGCCCCGAGCCGGGCAGCGCTGGGGAAGTGTACCACCGGGTACTGCGTTCTGTGCCTGGGACTAAGGGGCTCTGGGGACCCCAAAGCAGCTTCGGACGGCCCTTCTGGCACTGGCAGGGGCTGGTGCTTCTGGGCCCTGAGCCAGCGTTGGTGGTGGGGTGCAGGGAGGGATCTTGTCTTCCACGGGGTGGGCGGGCAGAACAGCGGGAGAGGATTCCGGAACTAGGAGGCAGGGGGCTGCCACACTGTATTTTTAGCTCCTCCAAGAGCCCAAATTTTTCCACTCTTTGGCAACCCGTGGATCTCCAGAACTGCACACGTTCCTGGCAGCACCCGGGGTTCCGGGCAGCCCAGGCGCTGCGGGCGGTGGAGGCACCTGAGGCCGAGCCTGTCCTACCATGGCCCCCACTCCCTCCCTCCCACTCAGACTCCTGGCTCCCCTGAGCCTCCCCGCCAGTCCAAGAGCCCCTGAGGGAACTCCACTGACCTGGTGACTCACAGGGGGCCTCAAGACAGGTGAGAAATAGGGTCCACCCACTGCCACCTGTCCAGAGGCATGAGGTGCACAGGCCTCGGCGAGGGCTGGCCATGTCCTCGATGTTCCCTGGCCCGTCTCACACCCAAGGAGCTCTCCAGCCCTCACACCGCCTGCAGTCCCCAAGATCTAGACAGAGTTCGAGGCTCCTGCCTCAAAGCCCTCCAAGATCTTGCTCTCCCCCTAATGTGCAAGGAGGGCCCCCCAGCCACTGTGGGGACCCCCAGCAGGAGCGGGTGGGCAGAAAGGTGCTCTCAGCAGTGTCACCGTCAAAAGACAAAGATGGAAGCAGCCTGCACGGCGACAGAGTTCAACCACAGGGTGCGTGTGATGCCACCGGGACACCTGCCCAAACACCAGCCTGAGCTGCAAATGGGATGCAGAGGGTTGTGTTTATACAGGGAGGGAAGCAAGCAAAATGGCCGCAGGACGCCAACAGCCTGTCACCGAGGGAAGCTGGCTCAGAGCGGTGCAGCCAGGAGCAGAGGCAGCCAAGGGCCCTTCACAGCACTCTGGCAAGTGCTGGCGGAGGCCTCGTGAGTGGAGAGAAGCTGGGGGTCCTGGCTGGCCAGCGCTGAGCGCCAGGGGACATCACTGGTCTGGAGTCGGACCACAGCTGGGCTGTGTCCCCAGGCTCTGGGGCAGACAATGGGCCTGTGGGAGGTGCAGTTCCTGGGTTAGAAGCAGAGCCCTGTGGAACCACAGGGAGGAGGGGGGCTCTGTGGGGGGGAATGGGGGTGTGCAGCAAACAGGAAATGGGGAGGAGGGTCAGCAAGCGCAGTCCAGGCAAGGGAGGACAGGAAGGGTGGAGGCCGCATGCCAGGAAGCCAGGCTCCTGCTTCCACCTGCACCGAGGGTGTGCAGGGGCTGGGTGGGCTCGCAGCTCGCCAGTCACCAGATGGGCCTTCTCCAGGACATAGCGCCTCAGCCGCACAAAAAGCAGGGCCGACGGGGTGCTCCCTGAGGGCTTGGCCGCCTCTGCCATTCTCGGGGGTCTGGGCTGGAGTCTGGGGGCCCAGGGAGAGGCGTGTGGGGACCAGCAGCTGCCTTGGGGGCACTTCCTGAGCCTGAGGGCCTGCCAGCACCTACCATGGCTGGGAGTGATGCGTGCGGATCTGTGGTTAGGGGCTGCGGAGGGCCCAGGGCAGGGGGCATGACGAACCTGCAGGGGCTCCATGGGGGCAGGTAACCGGGAGCATGGAGACCAGGGGCTCATCACCAGAATCCCCCTACCTGGGATTCCTCCCCTCAGACCAGACACACTCAGAGATGCCTCCTCCAAGGCCCCCAGGTCCCTCCTCTGTCCTCAGAAAAGGCCTCTCCCAACTTGGGATGGGGAAGGGCAGGGCTGGTCGGAGCCAGGCCCGAGCTTCAGGGTTCAGGTCCTGGTGGCCGTGTGCCTGGCTGGGCCCCAGGGTGTCCGGCCTCCACCCTGACCATTCCAGGACAGAAGGCTGCCCACTGTCTGCCCACAAGCCAGGCTCCGTGGTCCCTGCCCGCAGCCCACATCCCTGCTAGCAGCTGCCTTCCCAGGAGCAGGGAGAACAAAGACAGATTGAGAGTGGGGGAGAGCCTGAGCCTGTGCACCCAGCACGGCCAGGGGCTGCTGCCAGGGCCCAGGGTGGGGGATGGCTCTGATTGTGGGTGCCACCAGGCTCTGCTGCTGACCGGCCTGTGACCCACAGATCTCCTGGTTCCTGTCCTCAAATGGGGATGAGCGTGTCAGTGCCAACCCCTCAGCTTACTGACAGATTGAGAGGCTGGCTGTAACCGTGTGTAACCACACATGGCGTGTGCCCTGACCACCTGCCCTCCCGGTCGGCCCCCCTCCTGCTTGGCGGCTGGGACGGAGCTGGAACGTAGCATGAGTCTCCCCAGCCCCTGCTCAGCGTCTCTCAACCTCTGCTCCAGGCAGCCAGTGCCAAGGAGCCCATCAGGCCCGACTGGGTGAACAAGATTCTCAGCGTGGGTGCAGTGTACCGCTTGGCATTGCTGGGACACGAGGGTACCAGGGGGTCTCTACACATGGAGGCACAGGCAGGGGCCCTGGGTGTCCCCGAGGGCCTCTGGTTCTTAGGCCACTCACGTCTGTGCACAAGGTGGAAGCAGAGGCAGGTGGGGACAGGTGGCTACTCCCTCACCCCTACCCTGCGTCCTCCTCCCAGCCTAGGCTGGGTGCAGGCGACAGTCTGAGCTGTGTGTAGAGCAGGAACAGGGACCCAGGGCACAGAGGGTGGGGCAGGCAGGCTGCACACCAAGGCCACGTCCCAGGGCCCGCAAGGACCCAGGTGCAGATGGGGAGATGGAGGCCAGTGGGAGGCTGGCCCTCCTCACACGGCTGGCCATGTCCACCCCCGACCCGCTCAGGGCCAGGACAGCTCAGGCACAAACAAACCCCTACACCACCGGCCATGCCCACTGGTATTCCATGCGTGTTGGGCGGCCACTGGCTGGGCAGAGCGAGGGGCTGGGGCTGGCCTCTGCCCACAGCAGCTGCATGGGGGGGTCAGAGGTGCTACAGAGAAGCCGATACCCAGGGTTGTGTGTTCTGCCGGCCACTGGTTCCCTGCCCATCCGTCCCAGCTGTGCCCTGGGTTAGCCCCAATACTAGGCTTTGACACTGGCCTTCATCTGCAAAATGGGAAGCAGACAGCCTGTCCTCACCACCCCAGGTGTGCTTCCTGACCGAGTTCTGGGCCACCAAGGGCTGCCTGGGGGCCTGTGCTGTCACTGTGAGGTGGCCTGGGACAGAGCCCCGTAACAGTAGGGCAGCCGTCTACCCACCCCACCCCACCTCTCCCACCCTGGACCTTGGGGTGCTCAGACTGTGGAAGGGGGTGGGTGGTAGAGTACAATCACAGCGAGGGAGCAGGGGGTCCCTGCCCAGGCCACCAGGGCCAAGAGCCTTGGCAGCATCTTCCCATGTCCTGACCCTGCAAAGTGGCCAGGGGCCTGGCCAGGCCTCCAGCGGTGCCCATCTCCTCCTCCCGGGTCTCCATGCCATTTCCAATGCACAGAGGTGGGGGCACAGGGAGACAGGGCACCCCAGCCACAGCCAGTCACCCTTCTGGGGTGAGAACAGGAGTGAGCTGAGGGCACAGAGGCTGGGGACGGCGCAGCGTGGCCCTCCTCTCAGGACTCTCCTGGTCCCTCTCCCTCCCTCCCCTGCTGCCTCTGGGAAAAGGTGCAGGCAAAGAGGAGAGCAGCCTTGGACTTTGTGCCATTCTGTCCTCAGGGCCTTCACCCTGGTCATCCCGCCCAGGCTGTGACCCGGGCCCTGACCTGCCTGGAAGGCTCCAGGGTCCGGACTGGCCCTTTGGCAGTTGTCTGTCTGCATGAGCTGCTCTGTAGTGACACAGGTGGGTGCCTGGAGGACGGGCCTATTCCTGCCCCCTGCCCCCCCGCCACCCCTGAGTTTGGAGGCCTAGTAAGGGCTACTTGACCAGGACAGGCCCATCCTATTCCCAGAGTGGCAGTGCCAGGACCCTGAGTCTACCCTGGTGGTGGCAGCAAGGGGTGGGGAGCCTCAGCCTCCAGCTACTCTGTGGGGCTGGCCCGTTTGCACCCGACCCCCAATAAGTGCCCTGTGCCTGCCTGGCACATTGCTGAGTGGGGCTGGCCTCCAGTCTCTGGGCACAAAGGCAGACGCACACAGTAGGGGCTTTATCAGCTCCCCCTGCCAGAACAGATGGCACTGAGTATAAAGTGGCACTGACTATCCTGTGCCTGCTTCCTCATCTGTGAGCTGAATGCTCCAGCAGGACCCACGCCTCACTGGGAGGGATGAGGGTGGGAGACTGTGTGTGGGGACCCGCAGGCTGCTTCATTCCTTCCTTCCTCCCCCACGCACTCAGCACGCAGACCCTGCCCAGGCTGGTGTGAATGCTGAGTGGACAGGGCGGGCTTGGGGCTGGCCCTTGGGACTGACATAAGCCCTAAGAGAGGCGACCCTGAGCAGTCCCTGTGGTTCCTTAATTATAGCTGAGAAAGGACAGCCCCTTGAGAGAGGACAGGCACCACCAGTCTGCCCTGCCCTCCCGGCCTGGCGGTCGCCATGGTACACTGGGGCTGGACAGGGAGTCAGCTGTGTGAACAGACCCCACCCAGGCTCAGGACCCAGGCTGTCTGGGTGCTCAGAGGCAGACTGGGCAGAACCCTCCCTCCTAGGGTGAGGCTGGCAAGAATGGGAGCCTCTCTAACGGGGCCAGGTGGTTGGATCCTGCTCACACCTCCAACAGCAGGGAGCCTGCGCCCAAGCCCTCTCTCCTTCCTACCCAGCTGGTAGCAGCCTCCTTGTCTTTGACATATGGAGTCCACCAGGCCTGCTGGTGGCAGCTGGGGCGGCCCTCCAGACACTGGGGAGCTCCTGTGTGGCCTCTCCTCCCCGCTTTCCATCCACATCCTGAAACAGAGGTGGGTGTGCCTCCTCCAACGCAATGTGTCCACTGGGCCATGAACCACACACCTATCACACACCTGCCGTTTGCAAGACGGAGGTAGGGGAGGGGCCTGGCAGCAGGGAGTCAGGTCTCATCCCTGACAACGGGGAAACTTGACCTCCAGGCACCAGCAAAAAGCCAGGGGCTTGAGCTTACTTCACTGTCCCGGTCCAGAGCTGGGCCAGCTGCGCCCTGCCCACACCCACAGGCTGCACGAGTTACTTTCCAGTCACACCCACCCCTCCCGCAGCCTGCACGAACCCCGTAACTTTCCCAACCCGGGAAGCAACTGCGCTTTGATGGAAGGCACAGAGTCTATTTCAGGTAGGAGCTTCCACGTCCCCACATGTGCAGAGCGTGTAATTAGCTTGACAGCCGTCAGCTCCTCCACAAAGTGGGCGCTCACCTGAAGGTTAACTCTTAGCTGCTGAGGAGCCCTGGCTGTGGAGGCCACAGGTGCAAATGGTCACTCAGTCTGCCCTGTGAGACCCCCCTTTGCCAGCCTGCAGGGTCCATGACTGTCCAGGGATGGAGGGCGGGGCCTGGGCAGGGGTCAGCTCCCTTGGGTCCCAGGAGGGGACACTGCAGCAACCTGGCTTTTAGAACAGAAAGTGGCTGCTGCCGTGGTGGGGTCGGGTGGGAGCAGTATGAGGTCTCAGATCCCAGGTCTGGAGCCCAATGCTGCTATCTGCTGCCCTGGGTGGGGGCAAACGCCCCTGGCTGGGCAGCACCCTTGGGGTCTGGAGCCCCGCTCTGGGAGCCTACCTTCCCCAGCGAAGGGTGGCAGGGAGCAGGTCCCAGCCTGAGCTGCCATCCCACCCTTCAGAGTGCAGATGTGGAAACTGAGGCCTGAAGAGAGCAAGTACCCTGCACCATTCCAGTGCCAGAGTGGGGGAGGGCTGGCAGCAATGGCGTTTCCCAAGTCCAGTGCCTTCTGGCCTGCCTGACCTCTGGCACGGTTCCTGGTTCCCTGCCTGGGCAGGGTCTCCACCACTCTGCCTCCTGGTGTGTCCAACTGGCGTAGGCAATAATGCTGTGATCACAGCTGAGCTGCAGAGCCCTGGCTGGGGAACCCGAGCCCCAGAAGGCCCAGACAGACAGACCACCCCCCTGCACAGGGGGACTGGGGGCACAGTCACAGCTGGTCACTCCTTAGTCATGGCCACTCCTGGGGCGACTCCCCAGTTAGAGGGTTGACGGGTGGCTGTGAGAGCGCACAGGGTTGCTTCCCACCCCACCCACAAGGAACAGAGAGCTGTGATGGAGCCTGATTCCCCCAAGCCTGCCAGCAGAGGGGACCAGGGCCCCCTGTGCACCCACTTGCGCGTGGGCAGCTGGAAGCCAAGCAGTCAGGGTGGGGCGGCAGGCCGGCGTGCACCTCTGGGTGCCACCCGGGCGGCAGACCCGAAGTTGAAGTTAATTTTCCGAACTGTGGCTGATTCACGGTCAGGATGTGGCAGCCGCGAGGCGCAGAAATCCCGCCTGCCCCAAGAGTAGGCCCGGCCCACTCTGTGGGCAGTGCGCGCTCGGGCGGTGCCTCGGCGCCGGGGACCACGGTCCCGGGCGGGGCGCGAGGAGCCGGCAGGGCCAGGGGCGACCTGGGGTCCCCGCCCGGGGCTGTACCCTGCGCCGCGGGACGGCCTGCCGCCACCTGGGGCGCACACGCGGCAGCCCGGAGCCTCACTCCCGGACCCCAGCGCGCCCCCGCCTCCTCCCGGACTCAGTTTCCCCTGAGGCTCCTAGCGGGCCCCGAGGCCAAAGACTTACCGGGTGAGGCGGCGGCGCGGCCAGCGCTCCGTCCGGGGCCGGGTCAGGGGCCGCGAGCAGCCGGCGCCCACTGCGGCGCTCGCAAGGCTCGGACGGCGGCTCCCAGCGGGCGCGGGGCGGGCGGGAGGAAGAGGAGGTGCCGCCCCGCCCATCGGCGGCCACGTGGGGAGCTGGCGCGGGCCGGGGCGGGGCCGAGGAGGGGTCGCTGGGGTGGCCCCGCCCACCATGGCCCGCCCCTGAGGACGCTTTAAGGGGTCTCCCCGCGCCGGTGAAACCCTGGCCGCCCCCTCGGGCCTCTCCTGATGGGCGGAGACGGGGGTGGGACAAGCGGAGCGGGTCCGTCCCCCGCCTGGGCCCCCACCGCCCGCCCCCTCCCTTCCCTCCGCCGCCTCCCGTCCACTTACACCCCGCATCCTCCAGGCCCGCGCCCCAGCGCCCGTCACCTCCCGCTGCCCCGGCCAGGACTCCTGTTCCAGGCAGCCGGATTCGGGGATCCCTCGGCAGAGCTGTCTCTTCCCAGGCTTCGGGGACGGAGGGCCTCCCCATAAACCAGGCCAGCCCTGTGGCCTCCTCTCCGCAGCCTTTCCTGACCCCCCTCTTCCCCTGATGGGGCCTCGGTGGTCTTGGGCAGCCGCACTTCGCCGGTTGGTGGAGGCAGCTGCGTGAGGGCCGCGGAGGTGCTGCGATGGGTGGGTTTTCTCTGCCACCCCTATGCTGTCCGGCCTCATCTGTCTCCTAGACTTGGGGGCACCCATCCACCAATCCTCCCATCCCCGACATTGACTAGCATGGGGCACGCCGGCAGTTGGCGCGGAAAGCCAGCCTGGCTGGATGAGAGCCAGGCCCCAGCTCTGGAAGTCCCTTCTGACATCTGACCCTCAATCAGAGCTGCAGGAAACTGCATCAGGCCTGGAGTTTCGGGGTTACTGGGGGGCTAGAGGGAGAGCAGAGGAAGGTAGGCCTTGGGGAGCCCCCTGTGACATGGGATGGAGCAGACACAACCCTGCCCTGAGAACCGGCTCCACCACTCCCTGTACGACCTCAGGCTGGGATATGACCCTGTGGAGCCTCAGTTTCCCCATCTGTAAAACAGAATAAGTACCCGTAAGGGCTACGTGAGTGTCAAGAACATGTGGATAAAGTGTCTCTGCTAGCATTCTGACATCTCTCCAGAGGGCCTGCTGTGTGGGCAGTGGCAGGCAGGGCTCAGGGTGAGGGCAGGGGCAGCCAGAAGGGCTTTTGAATGGCTGACCAGCCCCGAAGCAGCTTCTGCTTTGAGGCCAGCTGTGCATGCTGCGGCCGTGGTGTGCCTCGCCTCTGTGTGGGGATCAGCCCCGAGTTGCTGGCTGTGTCTGTCTGCTCCCTGTGCCCACCCTGCCCTGCCCAGCAGCTCCAGCCCCGGAAGTTTGCTGGCTCGGCCCCAGTGCAGGAGCGGCTGCTGGCAACAGCCCCGAATGAGCTCCTGAGGGCTGGGTGTGCCCGAGGAGCCAGCCAAGGCAGGCGCTCACTGGACACCCTCCAACCTGGGCGGCGGCTGCCCCTAGACAGGAGCTCTGCAATTCTTGGAATGCACGGGGAAGGCCTGCTGGCCGCCACCACACCTGGCTCTAGGGCCCCTCCAGAGAAGGAGGCCTTCCTGCCCTCCCCCAAGCTGGGCTCTGGGTCTTCCCGTGCATTCCTGGACCCGAGCACTGGTGCCTTTACTGGCACCACCTGAGGGTGAGGGTGGAGGGCACAGGTGGGGCTGACTCATCTGCGTCGGGAGCCGGTGAGCTGGCGCCTGGCCGCAGAGGCGCTGGTCAGTGGGTGTGTTTGTAGATCCAGGGGATGGAAGAATGTGGGGAGGTTGGTGGGGAGTGAGCTTTGACCTGCAGCCCCCTCCCCTGCCCACCAGCTTGGGGGAAGGCAGAGTCCTGAGCCTCACCCAGAGGCTGGAGCCGGAGGCCGGGTGCGGGCCAGGGGTCCACCTTTCCTGGCACTTCTGTAGCTGCACAGATGTGAGGACCCCTGCCCCAATGGGGGAAGGGAGGGCCCAGCACCCCCAGGGCCGCTTATGCCTGAGGCTGTCTCCCTTGTGCCCAGTCATGCTTCTGAGCTGCCACCTGGTCCAGAGAGGCCATTGCAGACCAGGGCAGGGCGAAGAAGGCGGGGTGAATGTGTGTTAGTCAGAGGCAGGCTGGAGAAGTGCTTGGGGTCCGGAGGGACTGCAGAGGAGGGCTTCGGCCCTAGTTAAGAGGGTGTGTGCATGGTGGAGGCTGAGCTCAGAGGTCTGGGATGGTGGATGTGTGAACACTGAGAAGGGGCTTTCCCTCAGCCTTGAACCCAGCATGCCCAGGGCAGCAGGGTTCAACCCGCCTTGACCACTGATTTCCTGAGACATACAGAGGTCCCCTCCTGTTTTCCTTCAGCGGCTCACCCCCAGCCCTCTGCACCTCCAGCGCCCCCAGACTGCATCCCAGCCCTATTCTGAGCTTGCTTCCTGGGCCTGGGGTTCAAGGGAGGACCAATTTGGCCTCAGAATCACACCACCTGCGGACACCACCGGCAACTTCCGGAGCTGCTTCCTGGAAGCCATGGCCTGTCTGGAGGCTCCCCTCCTGGGCATGGGTCCTTCCTTGGAGCTGGGTACACACATGCTTACCCACAGCTGTGGGTGCCCAGATGCCTGAGAACAGGAACGTGCAGGTACAGGCTGGCGCTGTCACACACCCAGGCGGAGGCACACGTGCCTGGCCACAGGCACAGGGAGTGCGAGCGTGGTCCTGCACTGCAGGCCTGCGGAGAGCTTGCCTACCTCTTGCTGGGAGATTGGGATGAGGGGGAGAGCAGGCCTTGGCACCGCCGGCTTGACTTCTGCTAGGAACAGGCAGGCAGCGTGGGCGTTCCTGAGAGAAGTCCTCCCAGCCTGGTGTTGACGCCGTGCGAAGTCAGGGCATGCGGCAGGTGGCCACTTGCAGGCCCAGAAGCGCTGCCTGGGGTCCACCCGAGCAGCAGTCTCGCCATGGGTTCATTTCCTTTGTCAGTTCAGCACCCAGAATGCTTTTCATCATTTTTTAATTTTGAGATTTTTTTTTTTTTGCATCCTACTGGGGTGCCCTGAGATGATCTCTGACCTTGTTACAGAGTGAAAGAAGTGAAAACGCATCCACCCACCCGTGTCCACCCACCTGTGTACCCATTCACCCATCCATCCTCACACACCTACACTTCATCCGTCCACCCACCCGCAGCCATCCATCTGCCCATCCACTCATCCACCCACCCACCACCCACCTACCCAACAACCCACCCATCATCCACCCATCCATCCAGCTACCCATGCATCCACCCACCCACCCACCCTCATCCATCCATCTGCCCATCCGTTCATCCATCTACCCACCCACTCATGCATTCACTCATCCATTTACCTATCCTCCCATCCATCCACTCATCCAACCACCCACCACTCGCCTACCCACAAACCCACCCATCATCCACCCATCCATCCAGCTACCCATGCATCCACCCATCCATCCACCCTCATCCATCCATCTGTCCAACCATCCATCCGTCCACCCATTCATCCATTCACTCACCCACCCACGTCCACTCATCCGCCTACCCACCACCAACCTACCCATCACCCACTCATCCATCCACCCACCCACACCCACCCACCCACCCGTCCAGCTGTGGCACCTTGGGTAGCTGTTCTGCCCTGTGCCTGCTGACAAGGACATGACCCCATCCCCCAGTCACCTCCAGCCAGGTCACTCCTCCCACATCCCTGCCCCTCCCTCAGCTCTTCCCTCTGTAGCTGGCGGCTTTGCCGCTGGGGCCTCAGAAGCCCCTGGTGATGTCTCTCAACATCTCACAAACTTCTCGTGCATTTCTCAGTTCAAACTCCAAGAGCACCTGAGTCAGCCTGTCTGTGTCTGGCTGCGGGAGGTGGACATTGGTCAGCCTGTCTGTGTCTGGCTGCGGGAGGTGGACATTGGTCAGGGCTGTCTGTGTCTGGCTGCGGGAGGTGGACATTGGTCAGGGCTGTCTGTGTCTGGCCGCGGGAGGTGGACATTGGTCAGCCTGTCTGTGTCTGGCTGCGGGAGGTGGACATTGGTCAGGGCTGTCTGTGTCTGGCTGCGGGAGGTGGACATTGGTCAGGGCTGTCTGTGTCTGGCTGCGGGAGGTGGACATTGGTCAGCCTGTCTGTGTCTGGCTGCGGGAGGTGGACATTGGTCAGGGCTGTCTGTGTCTGGCTGCGGGAGGTGGACATTGGTCAGGGCTGTCTGTGTCTGGCTGAGGGAGGTGGACATTGGTCAGGGCTGTCTGTGTCTGGCTGCGGGAGGTGGACATTGGTCAGCCTGTCTGTGTCTGGCTGCGGGAGGTGGACATTGGTCAGCCTGTCTGTGTCTGGCTGCGGGAGGTGGACATTGGTCAGGGCTGTCTGTGTCTGGCCGCGGGAGGTGGACATTGGTCAGGGCTGTCTGTGTCTGGCTGTGGGAGGTGGACATTGGTCAGCCTGTCTGTGTCTGGCTGCGGGAGGTGGACATTGGTCAGGGCTGTCTGTGTCTGGCTGCGGGAGGTGGACATTGGTCAGCCTGTCTGTGTCTGGCTGCGGAGGTGGACATTGGTCAGGGCTGTCTGTGTCTGGCTGCGGGAGGTGGATATTGGTCAGCCTGTCTGTGTCTGGCTGCGGGAGGTGGACATTGGTCAGGGCTGTCTGTGTCTGGCCGCGGGAGGTGGACATTGGTCAGGGCTGTCTGTGTCTGGCTGCGGGAGGTGGACATTGGTCAGGGCTGTCTGTGTCTGGCCGCGGGAGGTGGACATTGGTCAGGGCTGTCTGTGTCTGGCTGCGGGAGGTGGACATTGGTCAGCCTGTCTGTGTCTGGCTGCGGGAGGTGGACATTGGTCAGGGCTGTCTGCGTCTGGCTGCGGGAGGTGGACATTGGTCAGCCTGTCTGTGTCTGGCTGCGGGAGGTGGACATTGGTCAGCCTGTCTGTGTCTGGCTGCGGGAGGTGGACATTGGTCAGGGCTGTCTGTGTCTGGCTGCGGGAGGTGGACATTGGTCAGCCTGTCTGTGTCTGGCTGCGGGAGGTGGACATTGGTCAGCCTGTCTGTGTCTGGCTGCGGGAGGTGGACATTGGTCAGGGCTGTCTGTGTCTGGCTGTGGGAGGTGGACATTGGTCAGCCTGTCTGTGTCTGGCTGCGGGAGGTGGACATTGGTCAGCCTGTCTGTGTCTGGCCGCGGGAGGTGGACATTGGTCAGGGCTGTCTGTGTCTGGCTGTGGGAGGTGGACATTGGTCAGCCTGTCTGTGTCTGGCTGCGGGAGGTGGACATTGGTCAGGACTGTCTGTGTCTGGCTGTGGGAGGTGGACATTGGTCAGCCTGTCTGTGTCTGGCTGCGGGAGGTGGACATTGGTCAGCCTGTCTGTGTCTGGCTGCGGGAGGTGGACATTGGTCAGCCTGTCTGTGTCTGGCTGTGGGAGGTGGACATTGGTCAGCCTGTCTGTGTCTGGCTGCGGGAGGTGGACATTGGTCAGGGCTGTCTGTGTCTGGCTGCGGGAGGTGGACATCGGTCAGCCTGTCTGTGTCTGGCTGCGGGAGGTGGACATTGGTCAGGGCTGTCTGTGTCTGGCTGCGGGAGGTGGACATTGGTCAGGGCTTATCCCAGGTCTGGGGTCGGGGAGGCAGGTGCCGGGACAGTGGGTGGGGCGGTCAGTCAGGGGCTTCCAGCAGGCAGGGAGCTCTGTCCTCTTCATTTGAATATTGCACACACATACAGTAGAATCTCATTCTTTGCAGGTTCTGCACCTGCAAATCTGTCTACTCACTGAAATCGATTTGTAAACGTAAAACCAGTACCTGCTTAGCTACCGTCTGCATCTCTTGAAAATGAAATAAAATAAGATCAATACTTCCTGCCGAGGTGACGTGTCCTGTGGAGAAAACCCGTGTTTGGAAAGGCTCGTACATGCATGAGTAGCTGTGCTCTTGGCCGGGAGTTCAGTGACGTATGTTAACAGAAACACACAAATAAGCCATTGTGTACGGATTGGTAGCTAAAAAGGCTGGACCAGAGGCTTGTAGGAACCTGGCCCTCTATTTCCCCTGGGAGCAGAGGAGGTCCAGCATTCGCTGAGTCGGTGTTTGCAGCCGCACCACGGAGCGCAGGACACGCTGTCACAGAGAGAGCTGCTGCATGGCCTGCAGGAGGTGCCCGGAGCTTCGGCCTTCTGCACACTGAGTTTCACTTTCATGGAAACCCACGTAACTACCTCCCCCCTCAGTAGACTATGGAACACTTCCGGGGCCCAGAAAGTTCCACGGCATAGCCCCCTCCGTGGGCACCCCCCAGAGCTAACGGCTGTTCTCATCTCTGCCACCAGAGACCTGTCATCCTGGGATTGCATGAACTGTCAGCCTTGTGCCTGGCTGCTTCTGCTCCACAGTCTCTGAGATTCATCCACACGGTGGGTGCGTCGGTTGCTCATGTTTCTTGATTTCTGTGAAATATTCAGTTGCACAAACCTATCCGCTGAAAGCTGAGGTGCAGAGGCAGGGTGCTGGCAGAGATGGTGGGTCTCCTTCGGGCACCTCGCTGAGCAGACTGAGCCAGTGCTGTCCCTGGGGAGACGCAGTCTGCCTTCCTGCTGACCTCCCATGAGCCATCGGGCTGTCCCTCCCCACCCCAGCCTCCTTCTCAGTTGTCCGGTGGGAGTCCAGATGGGGTGGGTGCTGTTCCCCATGGTGGCACGCAGGTTCCTCGAATGATGGGGAGAGCCACTCAGCTTTGAACTGTCTTGTGTTGGGGGTCTGTGCCACCTTTTGCTTCAAGAAGGGGCTCTGAAGTTGACGAGGTGAGGAGACACTGGGCCTTGGAACCCTGATGCCGGGAACTTGAGGGGCTGGAGGGAGCCCCAGATGGGTTCCCTGGAGGTCCTCCTTTGAGAGGAGACGTGCCTGGGACCCATCCACACCCCAGCCCAGGGCCTGCGTGAGTGTAGCTGTGTTCTGACTCGCCCTGCCCCTGGCTTTGAACCCTGCAGACTCAGCAGAGGCAGGGCTGGGCGTCAGAGAAGGGGAGAGTGGGAGAGGGCTCAGGGCAGGGCCTGTAGGCTGCCGGATTGGACCGTGCCTGATGGTCTTGGCGGGAAGGAACAAAGTCTGGAATGCTTTGTGGGTGATTTTTAGCCATTGGACTGCGTTTTGAAGGACTAATAGGTCTCCAGAGATAATTGTGTGTGTGGGGGGCGGGTTTCAGACGTATTTATGAATGGAATGCTGACTGGAATGGGGACACCGCTGTGGGCCTGCCCCTGCCCTCTTTGCCCTCCCCTCCCCCTTCACTCTCCCCTCCACCCTCCCATCTCTCCCTGACGCTTCCCTCCCTCCCTCCCTGCCCCACAGCTCTGGGCCCTTCAGGGTCACTGTTGCCTTCTGCGCTGTCACACCTGGTGGGGACCCAGGCACTCAGGGAAGCGAGGCTCCTGTAGTGGGCGGTGGGAGGCAGGGAGTGGCAGCCCCAGGCTGGGGCATGCAGGAGGATGAGTGCTTGGGATTCATTTCGGATGGGTCACCGACAGGCCACCGAGGGGTCACCACACAAACCAGTTCGTGCTGCCTCCCCAGGGCTCCTCCTCCCCTCCACCTCCCCCCTCCCCCATGGCAGCCACCGGCAGACCCCTCGCCCAGGTGTCAGTGTCTTTAAGGACCTATGTTGCTCCTTGGGTTTTCAACGTTAATACTCAGTTTATTAAAGTAGCACATTTAAAATCTCATTTTTGCCAGGCACGGTGGCTCACGACTGTAATCCCAGCACTTTGGGAGGCCAAGGAGGGTGGACCGCTTGAGCCCAGGAGTTCAAGACCAGCCTGGCCAACATGGGGAAACCCAGTCTGTACCAGAAATATGAAAATTAAGCAGGCATCATGGTGTGTGTCTGTAATCCTAGCTACTTGGGAGGCTGAAGTGGGAGGATGGCTTGAACCCGGGAGGCTGGGGCTGCAGTGAGCCGCGGTCATGTCACTGCACTCCAGCCTGGGCCACAGAGCGAGAGCCTGTCTCAAAAATAAAATAAAGTAAAAAGTAAAATAAAATTACGTTTTTTCCCCCAAATGTTTGGGTTTATTTTATCAATCGTATTAATTTGGTAAATTCTACGAATCTCCTTCAAGGTGCTTCTCCCGCATTTAAAGGCGCTTGTGAACGCATGAAGTATCTTCCATGGACGCACAAGCCTTCACAAGCGGGGACTCCATGGCGCAAACCTTTCAATAGACTGATTCTAGAGTTCTTCAAAAATCCCAATGTGTCTGCAAAGGCAGCTCAGTCATTTCCTTTCTTTTCCCCTGCAGTCACAGCTCTGAGTCAGCCACACGTGGACAGATCTGTAACAGCAAAGATAACCACAGAGGCACGTTCCACAGACATCCAGGTGCCAGCTGCAAGTGTGGGCGCTCAGCACGCGGTCCTCTTCCACCCTCCCTGCCGTGTGAGGTGGGCACTGGGGCCTCCACTCTACAGGGCACACTGAGGCCCAGGGAAGGGCATCGCCCTCCAGCCCGCCCTGAGTGCCATCTGACCGTGTGACGCTGAGCTACCCCAGGCACACCCAACACTGTGAAGGCCCCAGTCACTAGCGCAGACGGAGCGCACACAGACAACCCCTGTTTAACCCAGACGCGATAATCCTAGGGTTGGCTGATTTCCTTCCATCCTAGAGGCTAGACTCGCCCAGGACAGAGGTGAGGGTTTTAGGAGTGGTCACCGCTGCGGTGGCCCTTCCCCTAGGTGAGGACTTGGTTTCGTAGTGAGCATTCCCGAGTTCAGGTAGTAATTCCCCAGCTCTTTTTTTTTTGAGACAGAGTCTCACTCTCACCCAGGCTGGAGTGCAGTGGTGCGATCTCGGCTCACTGCAACCTCCGCCTCCCAGGTTCAAGCAATTCTCCTGCCTCAGCTTCCCAAGTAGCTGGGATTACAGGCTCATGCCACCATGCCCAGCTAATGTTTTGTATTTTTAGTAGAGATGGGGTTTCACCATGTTAGCCAGGATGGTCTCCATCTCTGGACCTCAAGTGATCTGCCCACCTCGGCCCCCTCAAAGTGCTGGGATTACAGGCGTGAGCCACCGCACTCAGACTTTTTTCTTTAAGATAGGACTTCACTCTTGTTGCCCAGGCTGGAGTGCAATGGTGCCATCTCGGCTCACCGAAACCTCTGCCTCCTGGGTTAAGTGATTCTCCCGCCTCAGTCTCCTGAGTAGCTGGGATTACAGGCACGCACCGACACACTCGGCTAATTTTTTATATTTTTAGTAGACATGGGGTTTCTACATGTTGATCGGGCTGGTCCTGAACTCCTGACCTCAGGTGATCCACCCATCTAGGCCTCCCAAAGTGCTGGGATTACAGGCGTGAGCCACCACGCCCGGCCCCCAGTTCTTACGGAACCTCCTAGTTTCACTGCTAGCTTGGAAATAGATCAGACTCTTTCTTCTCATCCATGTCACTTCCCACCTTGATGGGACCTGCTGCCAGGTGATGCTGGATTCTGTCCTCCTGTCACTGGCCTGCAGACTGGGCAGCTGGCTTGCTTCCCAGTGCCCGCAGGGGTGCTGCCCATCCCGAGGGTCCCTGCTCCCTGCTGCCCTTCCACCTGCTCATGGAGGCGGGGCCCTCATCTGCCAGTTTCAGCTTTGCTTAGCCCCAGCTGCCATGCTTTTTTCATGGAAATGAACCAGTTTGCTCCTGAGCTCTTCCAGGATGACAACTGACAGATGCCAGAGGGGAGAAGGTGCTTCCCTCCTGAAGGCCCTCGGCTGGCCTCTGACCCAGCCCCGAGGCCCTCCCTGTCCCTCCCCACACTGCGGCCTCTGGCCTGCCTCTTCCTGAGCGCCCAGCACAGTGTTCCCTTTCTCCTGTAGAATAACAGGGAGACTTACGTGTTAAAAATAACCAAGAACCCCAAACCCTGTCTGACTCCACATACACGGGCTGTGTCTATTCCCACCAGGAAACGGGGTCTTTCCCATGCCACTGGCTCTCCTGGGACCGGGGAACTCCTCCAGCCCCTCCTCCCCTCCCTGGAGACTCCGGCCCCTCCCACTTCCGGCCATGGGAGAGTGACTGCTCCCTTCCTTCCACGGAGCCTCAGCCTGGAATCTTCGCTTGCAAGCGTAGCGTCCGTTTTCCGGCCTGGCTCCCTGCCTGGCTCCCCAGCTAGACTTTGAGTTCCAGGCCCGGCGTGGCCAGGGGTAGCCATGGTGAG